CTGGGGCTTGAACTAAAGGCCTGGGCACTGTCCCAGAGCTTTTTAGCTCAAGGCTAATGTTCTACCACTTGAGCCACAGTTCCATTCTAAATTTTTTGTTTTTGCTAGGTAAAAGTCTCCTTGACTTTCCTGTCTGAGTTAGTTTTGACTAACTCAGATCCTGAGACCTCAGCCTCCGAACTAGGTAAGATTACAGGCGTAAGCCATTGTTGCATGGAGAATTGTGCATTTTAAATGGAAGAGTTCTATAGTAAGTGAATTATAGCTCAGTAGAATAGTTACAAGAAAAAAAAAAAAGCAGGGGCTGGGAAGGTGGCTCAGTGGTAGAGCACTTGCCTTGCATGCCTGAGGCCCTGGGTTCAATTCCTCAGCACCACATAAGCAAAAAGAAAAAAGCCGAAGTGGTGCTGTGGCTCAAGTGGTAGAGCGCTAGCCTTGAGCTGAAGAGCTGAGGGACAGCGCCCAGGCCCAGAGTTCAGGCCCCACGACTGGACCCCCCCCCAAAAAAAAAAAAAGAAAAGAAAAAGCAGCCAGAGCATGGCACTACATGCCTGTAATCCCAGAACCTGAAAGGCAGAGGCAAAAGGACAAGCCTGGGCTTCATAGTGTTCTACCTGCTCCTATCTTTCCAGATAGATCTTTCCAGTTATGTCTAAGTGTCTCCTTGATCAGATTCTTCTAGGGACCCGCTACCCCCGCCAAGCCTTGATACACAGCCTGCTCTCCTCAGTACTGTCTCTTCCAGGACCCCTCAAGACCTGGCCTGGTCTATCCAGACACTGCACTCCTTCTGTTCCTCAAACACACATGATATTCCCTGCCCCCTGGCCTTTGCATGTGCTGTGCCTCTGTCTGGATCACCCTTCACCTTCTTTCCCGAGGTCCCCCAGCCATTTGTACTTCCTCTGTCACCGCGCTCCTGCTGACAGGAGAAAAACAAGAGCCCTGCAAGTACAGGGCTGAGTCATTTGTCACTGCCATCTCCCTGACCCCATACAAACGTGAAAACTCAGGTTTGAATGCCCCGTGGACCTGTTTTTGTTTTGCTTTGTTGTTTTGTTTGTTTTGAGATAGCCCAGGCAGACCTCGAACTCTAGACCTCAAGAATCTGAGTTTACACACTGGCTTGGTTACTGATTGCCTAAAGAAATTCATATAATGCCTTCCTCCACTGGGTCTCAGCTGCCTCTCCTGTGGTCACTCTCTGCGATCACTCTTCTTTAAAAAAACAACAAAAAAAAAGATACACAAAAAAACACTGGGCACTGGTGGCTCCTGCCTGTCATCCTAGCTACTCAGGAAGCTGAGATCTGAGGATTGTGGTTCAAAGTCAGCCTGGGCAGGAAAGTCTGTGAGACTCTTATCTCCAATGAACCACCAGAAAACTGGAAGTGTAGCTGTGGCTCAAAGTGGTGGAGCACTAGCCTTGAGTGAAAAGCTCAGGGACAGCACCCAAGCCCTAAGTTCAAGCCCTATAACCAACAATAAATAAAGAAAAAAAGAGCTGGGCACTGAGGCTGGGAAGATGGCTCAGTGGTAGAGCACTTGCCTTGCATGCCTGAGGCCCTGGGTTCAATTCCTTAGCACCACATACGCAAAAAGAAAAAAGCCGGAAGTGGCGCTGTGGCTCAAGTGGTAGAGCGCTAGCCTTGAGCTGAAGGACAGTGCCCAGGCCCAGAGTTCAAGCTCTACAACTGGACCAAAAAAAAAAAAGAGCTGGGCACCAGTGGCTCATGCCTGTAATCCTAGCTACTCAGGAGGTGGTTCAAAGCTAGCCCGGACAGGAAAGTCTGTGAGACTCTTATCTCCAGTTAACCACCAGAAAACTGGGGGTGATGCTGTGGCTCAAGTGATAGAGTGGCCAGGCCCAGAGTTCAAGCTCCACAACCAACAAAAGGGAAAAAAAAAAAAGAAAGAAACGAAAGAAGGAAGGAAGGAAGGAAGGAAGGAAGGAAGGAAGGAAGGAAGGAAGGAAGGACACAGGCCTGGTGTTGGTGGCTCACATCTGTAATGGAGGCTCATCAGGAGGCTGAGAGGTATCTAAGCTGTCAGTTTTGTTTTTTATTTTGTTGTTGTTATTGTTGAAGGCTTTAGCCACACCTCCACTTCCACCCTTTTGGTGGTGAATTAGAGATGAGCTCACAGTTTCCTGCTGGGCTGGCTTTGAACCAAGATCCTTAGATCTCAACCTCCTGAGTAGCTAGGATGACAGGCAGGAGCAACCAGTGCAGGATTAGCTAAAATACATTTCTGTTGTTGATAAGCCATCTAGTGGATAGTATTTGTTATGGCAGCCCAAACAGTTCTCAACTCAGCCCTGGCTTTGACTCCGAGTTAGTGTTAAGTAATGAGAGGCGACGGACACACAGAGAATTTCCAACATGACAAGGGCTCTGCTTCACTCTTCTCAGGAGTGAACTGGGTGCTTTTTGTTTATTTGTTTGTTTTTGGCTTTTTTACTTCTTGTAGTGATGGAATAGAACCCAGACCCTGGGTTCTATCCATGTCAGGTAAGCAAACACTCTTTTTCTTTTGTGCCCATCCTGGGGCTTGAACTGAGAGTCAGAGGCTGGGTGCTGTTCCTGAGTTCTTTCACTCAAGGCCAGCGATCTACCACTTGAGTCACAGTTCTGCTTTTGATTTTTTGCTGGTTCATTGGAGATAAAGAAGCTCTCAGGGCTGGGAAGGTGGCTCAGTGGTAGAGTGCTTGCCTTGCATGCCTGAGGCCCTGGGTTCAATTCCTCAGCACCACATAAGCAAAAAGAAAAAAGCCGGAAGTGGAGCTGTGGCTCAAGTGGTAGAGCACTAGCCTTGAGCTGAAGAGCTGAGGGACAGCGCCCAGGCCCAGAGTTCAGGCCCCACGACTGGACCCCCCCCCCAAAAAAGAGTCTCTCAGACTTTCCTGCCCAGCCTGGCTTTGAATCATGATCTTCATATCCTAGCCTCCTGAGTACCAGGGATTACAGACGTGGGCACCAGTACCTGGCTCCAACAGACCTCTTGGCCTTAACAGAATCACAAGGAGATAAATAAGCCCCAATTTATCCAAACCCTTCCTATTTCTTTTTTTTTTGTCGGTCATGGGGTTTGAATGCTGGGCCTGAGCACTGTCCCTCAGCTCTTCAGCTCAAGGCTAGCGCTCTACCACTTGAGCTACAGTGCCACTTCCTGTTTTCTGGTGGTTTATTGGAGATAAGAGTTTCACGGACTTTCTTGCCTGGGCTGGCTTTGAACCTTGATCCTCAGATCTCAGCCTCCTGAGTAGCTAGGATTACAGGCGTGAGCCACCGGCGCCGGGCTAGCCCTTCCTATTTCTGATAAGAACAAGGGAGACCTTGCAGAGTTCTCAGAAAAGGCAGAGCACCCCTATGTTCCCCACCCCCTTAGCCCACAATCCACTTGGGTCAGCCCTGAGACCAGCAGGCATGTAAGTGAAACCTATGGATTTAGGGATTAAGGTGAAAGTAGTCACACACACACACACACACAAAAAAAAAACAGATATTTAGGATGACTCAGCATGTTCCAACTTCTCCCTCTTCCTTCCCATCCAGTCCCTAGAAACGCTTATCAGCAAATTAAAATTTAATTGAGCCCTGGGCTCAACTACTTCCTCAAATCCAAGATCCTCACACAAGGCCCTAGGAGCAGTGGACAGCCTGCCTAGTAGTGGAGAAAAGAGTCCCCTCTTCCTAGCAGCAGGGCATGGTAGGGCTCCTATGCAATCCCAGCCGTTGTGAGGTGGCGATGAAGGATTGTGAGTGTGAGATCAGACTTCCAAACTGTCTCCCCCCACTCCCCACCCCCCAAAAAAGTGCTGGGCAGTGGTGGCTCATGCCTGTCATCCTAGCTACTTAGGAAGCTGAGATCTGAGGATCATGGCTCAAAGCTAAGGGACAGTGCCAAGGCCTTGAGTTCAAACCCCAGTTTACAGAGAGAGAGAAATGGGGGGGGACATTGGCTGAAAACAGCAAATTCTGGATACTGAAGATCTCCACTCCTTTTGGGGCACACAGATATTTTATCTTCAGGGTCCCTGAGGCTTACTGGGGTGGAGCCCCATATCTGGAAGTCCCAGGCCCTGCTGGTCACTGGTAAACTCTAGAATGAGGTGCAAGAGGTAACAGATAATCCTGCACCCTCTCCCGGTGTAACCAGAATTTTCAGCCCTCACTGACATTTCTAGGATTAGAGCAGGTGTTCACAACAACTTTTCCTGTAACTTTTTCAATGTTCTTTTTGTGGTATCCAAGTCAAAAAATCAGCAAATTTCTTTTGTGCTTAAGAGCAGGACTTGGCACACTCGTCACCCTAGCTACTCAGGAGGCTGAGATCTGAGGATTATGATTTGAAGCTGCCAGACGTTGGGGCTGTGGCTTTAGTGGTAGAGTGCCAGTCTTGAGGGAGAAAGCTAAAGGACAACACCTAGGCTTCTGAGTTCAAGTCACAGTACTGGTGCGTGCACGCGTGCACACACACACACACACACAGAGGAATTGAGTTTAAACCGTAGCACTACCACCTAACTCCTGTGTCATATTGGGCGAATCATTCTCTGGGCCTCAATGGTCTCCTCTATCAAGTTGCCCTAATACTATCACTCTCCCCAGATGAGGGCTGTCAGGTTATAACACAAGTGGACAGAAAGCACTGCTGGATGGCAGGCAGAAGCTGGCTGGGTAAATTCTCTCTGGGTGTACCCACAGTCACCACTACAATCACCGTGAATTGCACAAGAGCCCTGGATTTACCCACTGCTGTGTCACTGGAGTCCCCTAGGCCCTCATGGGCTGATTTCAGTTTTTTGTGCCTTAGACTCACGTAAAACGAAATCTCCTGGCCTCCCTGCATTCATTGGCCCCGTGGTCTTCTTTCTTTGCTCCCTGACTCTTCACGCACCTGAGTGTCCATCCAGCCCCCGCCTGGTCCTATGACACCCCTTTTTAATGCTCTGCCATGTGCACCGCCCCCATCCCACCAACAACGACCCCTGCTCATGCCTGCTTGCACCGCCTGCGCCATGGTGGTGAGTCCGGTCTTTCCAGTGGCACCGAAGATTGCGATCTTCTTGACAGTCATGATGCCAGGGGGTCCAAGGGTCCGCCAGGCCGGAGGCTCGGGACGCGCGGGAACTCAATGGCCGCTGGCAGGGTTCTCCACCCTTCTTTAGTTGGAGGGACGGGGCGGAGCTAGTTTAAAGAGCCACGCCCCAGGCCCGCCCCTGGTTTACAAATCAGTGGGCGTGGCCATGAAACCACGCCCCCTCTACTGGGCGGGGCAGGAGTCCGTTTTCATTTCCTCACTGTCTAGCGCCACCCTCTCTCTCGCTTACACTTGAAGGCCCCGCCCCCCATCTGGGAAGGGCGCGAGTAGGAGGAATCAAGAGAGCTTGTCACTCATCATCCCGCCTCCACGCTCCAGCCAATCAGAGAAAGCCAGGCTGGGCGGGAGTCACGCCCACTGCCTCTGCTCCCTTTCGCCCAGTCTTCCCAGCATCTGGGGTCGGAGGTGGGACTCTGTTCCGCTTAGAGCTTTACCAGACAAGCTAAGGGCCAAAGGACAGGGGGCGGCGGGGGTGTGCCACTGTAACGGTGTGACTATGCACTTGTGTGACCGTGCTTGTGGGTGCCGTCCCGTGTGTGTGTGAAGGCGTGATCCCACGTGTGGGCGGCACTCCATGTGTTCTTTGGTGACCTTGGGTGACACTGTGACAGCGAATGTCAGCCTGTGCGACAGCACAGGAGTGTGGCACACGTGTTGGGGATTATTCGATTGTTACTGGGACACCACATTTGTCATGGAAAGATGTGTGAGCCCAGAGCCCCATAGTGGGTGTCTCTGGGGGTGTTACTAATGGTGATGACCATGTGATTGATGTCTGAGTGTGTCCCCTTGTGCCTGGGTGTTTGGTGTGACAAGCTTGAATTATTATCATTTTTTAAAAATATTGGTCGTGGGGCTTGAACTCTGGGCCTGAGCGCTGTCCCTGAGTTCTTCAGCTCAAGGCTAGCACTCTACCACTTGAGCCACAGCACCACTTCCAGTTTTCTGGTAGTTTATTGGAGATAAGAGTCTCATGGACTTTCCTGCCCGGGTTGGCTTTGAACCATGATCCTCAGATCTCAGCCTCCTGAGTGAATAGGATTACAGGTGTGAGCCACCAGCGCCCAGATCACAAGCTTGAATTTTACTTACTTATTTTTGTGCTGGTATTGGGGGTGGAACTCAGGGTCTGGGAGCTGTCCCTCAGTTTTTGTTGTTTTGTTTTTTCTTCACCCAAGGCTGGTACTCTACCACTTGAGCCACAGCTCTTCTTCTGGATTTTTTTCTGCCAGTCCTGAGGCTTGAACTCAGGGCCTGGGCACTATCCCTGAGCTTCTTTTGCTCAAGGCTAGCTAGCACTCTACCATTTGAGCCATAACACCATTTCCGGCTTTTTCTGTTATGTGGTACTGAGGAATGGAACCCAGGGCTTCATGCATGCTAAGCAAGCACTCTACCACTGAGCCACCTTCCCAGCCCTCTTCTGGATTTTTTGCTGGTACATTGGAGATAAGAGTCTTATGGACTTTCTTCCCCGGGATTGGGGTTGGGGTTACTCAGCCTCCTGAGTAATTAGGATGACAGGTGTGAGCCACCAACACAGGTGGCTGGTGTGACAAGCTTGAGTGTGTAAACATGAAGGCAACTATGAGCTGGTGAAGATGGGTGATGGTGTACAACACCCATTGTTGTTGATGGTGATAGTGTCCTATTTGAACATGTCACAGTGGGACAGACACTCTCTTCTTGTGTGGGATAACTGGGTGTGACAGTTTGAAGGTCTGACCCAGAGTGATCTCACATAGGGAGTGACACAGATATGGAGAATGTGCTTGTGATGTTGTGGTGACCCAGTGTGTGTGTGTGTGTGTGTGTGTCAGTGAATGTCAGCGTGGGAATGTGTGTATCAGTGGGGGTGTGGGCAATGTGTGTGCATGTGTCAGTGTGGGAATGTTAGTGTGTGTATCAGTGTGGGATGTGTCTGTGTGTCAGTGTCAGTGTTTGTGGGGGTGTCAGTGTGGGAGATTTCAATGTGTGTGTCAGTGTGTGGTATGTTCTGTGGGTGTCAGTGTGGGTGGGTGCAACAACCAGTGTCAGCGTATCAATTTGTATGTATCAGTGTGGGAATGTTAGTGTGTCAGTGTGTGTCAGTGTGGGATGTGTCCATATGTATGTCCATGTGTGTCAGTGTGGGTGGTGTCAGTGTGGGCAGTGTCAGTGTGGGATATGTGTCTGTGTGTGTCAGTGTAGGTGTGTGCAACAACGTATGTCAAGGTAAATGTGTCAATGTGTATGTGTCAGTGTGGGAATGTTAGTGTGTCAGTGTGGGCAGTGTCAATGTGTGTTTGTGTGTTAGTGGGGTTGTCAATGTGGGGGTGTCTGTGTGTAAGTGTGTCAGTGGGGGTGTCAGTGTGTGTCTGTGTGTATGTCCGTGGAGGGTGTCAGTGTGGGGGTACCAGTATGTGAGTGTGTGTGTGTCTGTGTGTGTCAGTATGTGACAGTGTCAATGTGTGTCTGCGTATGTGTCAGTGGGGGTGTCAATGTGTGACAGTGTGTGTCAGTGTGCATCTGTGTGTGTTGTGTCTGTAGGGTTGTCAGTGTGGGAGTGCCAATGTGTCCGTGTGTGGGTATCAGAGTGTGAGTGTGTGTCAGTGTGGGGTGTCAGTGGGTGTCAGTGTGTGTGGGTGTCAGTGTGTGTCTGAGTGTGTCAATGTGGGGTGTCAGTATGTCAGCGTGGGTGGGTTTCAGTGTCTGTGTGTGTTCTGAGTGTGTCAGTGTGGGGATGTCAGTGTGGGGGTGTCATTGTGTGTGTCTGTAAGTGTGTGCAGTGTGGGGTTGTCAGTGTGTCAGTGTGTGTCAGTGTGTGTGTCAGTGTGGGGATGTCAGTGTGTCTGTCAGTGTGTGTGTCCGTGTGTGTCACTGTGGGGGTGTCAGTGTATGTGTTAGTGTGTCAGTGTGGGGTGTCAGTGTATGTGTTAGTGTGTGAGTGTGTCAGTGTGGGGTGTCAGTGTGTGTCCGTGTGGGGGTGTCAGTATGAGTGTGTGTCAGTGTGGGGGTGTCAGTGTGAGGTGTGTGTCAGTGTGGGGTGTCAGTGTGTGATCGTGTGTGACTGGGCTGTGCCCCCTCTCCAGCGGAGCGCACGCGGCCTGCGGTGGGAGTGAGGGCGCGGGATCCCGGGTTCCGGGGTGGCGCGTGGGGTCCCGGGGTCCGGGGCGGGGGCGCGGGGTCCG